GAGAAACGTTACAATACATATGAGATACTGTGCGAAGGATCACTCAGAACCTCTTTCTTAACAATCACAGCCAGTTGGATCTCTCTCAATTAGAGGAGTTTATCACAATCAGATAGCATCATGTAAGCAGACAAGGAAAGATTAGAACAACAGAGGATGTAACACTGACGAATACAGAAAACAGTTTCCTTTGGAGTCAGAAACTATTCTGAACGTCTATCCAAGATCACTTTCTTTACAAGCAAACAAACAAAAATAATCACAACACTAACAAATCACACAACCTCTCTCCAACCGTGCACAACTCAGAATGGCGCTCCGGGTGAGGAATTGGCTCCGCCCCCATCAGAGTATAAACACCTCACTACAAATGGATTGGTCAGATTAGAAAAATATCACAAAAGATATCACCAAACTCTCGCTAGGAAACTGTTTGGCCATTAAGTACAGAGTAGTTTGAGCTGAACATGCTATTCAGTTATGCGAATGAAAAAGACGCGAAGCAAGGATGTGAACTGTGGCAAACGATCATACGTTATTCACGAAACCGATCAGAGTAAGATTTCAATAGAAAAACTAAAAAAAAAGAGCGAGAAAATCGGTGAGGATTTGACTGAGTTGTCCAGCGTGTTCTCCAACTCGCAGCAAGCTACTCTGCCGCACAAGAAAAACGTGAAAAACGTGAAGCACAACCGCTTAGCCAAACCAATATATTCGCGGAATGAAACCCGTGCACGACCAAAAATTAATTTTTTTGTTTCAAGAATGAAAACTCGCGTCTCCATTTATAATTATCGGGATGCGTGGTGCACTTGCATTCATAAGAGATTTCATACTAGACGTCATAACTTTCTTCAAAATGATCGGAATTTTTTCATTTTTCACTCGAAACACGAACTGAGAGTGGAGCGAGTTACTTCATAATGATCTCTCGAATACATAAACGAAGTATCTCAAACAGAAACGTTTTCGGAAGTGCAATATAAACATTTGTGGTAACGACTAGCGTACGAAAGATATGCCGGTAGTTGAGCTGTAATGTAAAAGAAAGTAAAATCACATAATCTTCATGGCTCTCTTAACACTTTCCTTATTTTTTTTTCAATTTCTAATGACAATCACGATTTGATGCAACCTATAAAGAAAGTACGCAATGACCTTATTTGGAACAATCAGCTCGTTTGATGTCGTGATTCCAGTTTTTTTTGACACGATTGTGTTTCCACAATGTCCTAGAAACAGATACTACCCTCACAGCTAAGAGAAGGATTCCAAATCAGTTAATGCAACTTTCCTAAGAAGCGCCTTGACCCCAATGAAAATTCCAAAAAGGATGCGCTTTTATCGGTGAGATATGAAGATTAATGAAATAAAACAGAAGAGAGATATAGCAAAACTGAGTATACCTAACAAGATTTGGAGCTGTCCATCATGAGAAAACGCCCCAGTTAGCCTGCGGATGATATAAAAGCAGTCAAACGTTTCACTTCGAATTTTCGGCTAACTTATCCAGTGAAGCTACTGCTAGCTAACGACGCAATCATTCAACATTGCATAAAACATGTTTTTCTTTTCTATACTTCAATCCTTAACTGCAATCATCTTTATCGCTCGGTTCATAGTTAATGTCATTCCTCTTCCACTACCTTTCCTCACATTGAAGTAATTTTGAAGAGTTTGTTCTTCCAGATGGACACGTACGTGTTCTATCATAAGCTAGCCGGCTTCTCACTTGCTGTTTCTTCCATAGCTATCATATCTCTCTTGTTCTCTATTCCAACATTGTACGACAGAGCTGACTTCCAACAAAGGGACATTGAACTTCTCTCTGCCAACTATAAGGTAACTCCGTCTCATAAAGCACCAATTTACGAGAGATTATTTCCAGGTATCATCGAACTCCCTATGGAGGCAAATCATATCAACCAAGGGTAATATGCAAACCAAAGGAATGTTGATGTTTTCACGTAGACGACGTGATAATCCATTGGAGTATGGTTATTGCAAAGGATGCTTCCAACTTGCTTGTCCAATGGGAATGCCTGGACCACAAGGTCTTCCTGGAAGCGATGGTATTCCAGGAGAACCAGGTCGACCTGGAAGAGTGAGTGATTATATGCACTGTGTCAATGCTAACTTAACCATATAGGCTGGAGATGATGGTTATGACATACAATTAGAGGCTGAACAAGAGCTTCCATGCGTTATATGTCCCGCTGGACCACCAGGTCAAAGAGGAGCTCAAGGAGAACGTGGAATGCAAGGATATCCAGGCATGCCGGGACACCTCGGCCCAGACGGAACTATGGGATTAGATGGACCTCATGGTCACCCAGGACTGCATGGAGAAGTTGGTGAAAAGGGTCCACTAGGAAGCAAAGGACAAGAAGGAGACACTGTGATTGCTGGAGTAGGAGTTAAAGGCCCTCTAGGACCACCAGGTCCTCAAGGAATGAAAGGACGTCCAGGCCCAGCTGGTAAAAACTCGAACAGTCCAGGAAATCCAGGACCAACTGGACCAACTGGAGCACTTGGACCATTAGGCAAATCAGGCCATCCTGGTCAAGAAGGAAGCTTCGGACCACCTGGTGATCCAGGAATGCCATCAAGCTATTGTCCATCCGACTGTGGTGTCCAGAACATTCTTAGCGATATGTTTACCGCTCCAAGCCATAACACCTATTCAGCTGGTGCTCCAAGCACAAAGTCTTACTCAGCAAGCGCTCCAGGTCCTTCCTATTCTGCTCCAGCTCCAACCTCTGCCAGTAATGCCTATGCTCCTCCAACCGGAGCAGCAGTACCAGTATTCCCAGAGATAACAACACCCCAGCCTGCTGAAGCTTCAACTTTCGATTTCAACCAATTCCCTCAGTCCTCAGATGTCTACAATGCTCATGAGAAATTGCACGATTTCGCCAAATTCGAAAGAAGAATGAGAAAGAAAATGCTTCGTAAGATGCTCCGATTGCAGAAACATTGAGTAAACTTGCTCATACTCAGTAATTTATTCGAATATATCATAAAAATATTTTTGATAAAGAATAAAGTGCATAATAATACAAACATATGTATTGAAATAGGGGAACAAACATGAAAACTAAGGAAATAACTGACATTAAGTAGGAAATCTGTTCTGAACAACATGTTACGAACAAATAGAAATCTGTAGTTTCTTACGTACGAAACATCTTCCAATAATCTTATGAAAATAACCGTATAAAGCTACCCGTGGTCAACAGAATTCAAGTAAACATGATTAGACTTAGGAACGTCATTAAGTTAAAACCACCAAGGCTAAAACATTAAAATATGGATAAAATCAACAATATTCGATAAGAATTCACAACAATAGATTCAGTAACAACAAAAACTTCACTAACATTAAGCGAAACCCCCTTCTCCGATTCCGTACCCGAAACGCATGGAGGAAATGTAATTGGGAGGGAGGATGGGAACTTTTCCATACGGAAGAGTCCATCTGTAAATCAGAAAGTTTAAAGGAAACTATGAAATTCTTACCGGAACAAACATTCATAGGTATATCGTTCAGAAGCCGAGCTGTCTCGACGTTCAATCCATTCAAATCTTTCGTTTCTAACTCTTTCAACAAGTTCAACTGGCAGCTCTTCGAGAGCTTCAAACACTCTTGTCTCATCGTCCTTAGCAATAGGCTCTTCGGCTAATAAAGCCATATTTCGCCTGTTAATAAGAATTAGAGTCAGCTTTCCGGGATTAACTTACGGCTCTCTCCTCTCTAAAGTAAAATTATCGAAGAGCTCTTCAAGATAGACTTCGTCTGGTTTCATAAGGTAAGAGCGTAGAATATTCCGCAGCAAATTGTAATCAGGCTTAAAGATTGGCATTCAACAACTTCGTCTACTAGAAGACTAACCTTCTCTGTGAAATTCATTCCTCTCGCATATGTAATCCATTTCTCTAATGGTGGACAGGCCGTTTTCCAATTCATCTGCTCTTTTCCAACCATAATCCTATTATAACTTTGCTGTTTGCTACGGAAACGAGCACGATTTCTAGGTTCCTACAACAGATTGGTAGAGATGGTATCTAGGTAAGACCAACCTTCCATGGTAGTTCTCCAATCATAAACTCGAGAAGTATATATCCTAGCGATTCTAAATCGTCTCTCCTCGATAGTTCTAATCCCTGAAACAGAAGCGAATCGAGCAAATTCAAGAAAAATCCTTACGTAATGGCTACGAAGACTAGCGTACTTAGCAGTACCCACTAAGTTTCTTCCTTTTCTAAAAGGTACATGAGATAGATCATGCCCCTCTCTGAACCTGCAATGCATCTTAAGAGTGATTGTGAACTGTTGGTCAAACCTATAACGTCGAGCCAACCCAAAATCTATGAGATAACAAGTGTTTTCATTCGACCCTAGTCCCATCAAAAAGTTCTCTGGTTTCAAATCACGATGAACGAATCCTCTATTATGTAAATGCTCGACACGAGCAATCATCTGCATTCCCAATTCATAAATTGTCTGCAGAGGTTGGAAAAGGTGATTTATGACTCAAAGAGTATTACTTCTTTCTTGAATCTAGAAGAGCAGTAAGTGAAAAGGTTTTCTAGCGAAGGACCTAGTAGTTCCATAACCATTATTCTGAAATCAACACTTCATATGAGTCTAAGAGAAGAACAAACTTATGACGGTATTCTTCTCCGATCCAGTGCACTTTAGCAAAGCCCTCCGTTACTTTACATTTCTTCGATCGAGGACCATCATGACAGACCTGAATCTATAGTGTTTGCCAAAAAAATAGTTTTTACCTTGTACACTTCATGCTCATAATGCAAATGGGAATCTTCCACAGACGCTTAAAAATATCTTCGAGATTTGTCTTCGATTATTGCTTACCAGTCTCAAACTTGACAGCGACAAGACCTTGTCCTGGATCACTGAGGATCAAAGCAGTGTAAATGGCTCCATAGCTTCCAACATTAATTTTTTGAACAACTCGATATCTAACAAAGTTTGTGAGGTTACAAAGAATATCAAAGTCAGTACCGGCCGTTGATGAGAAGACCAATTTTCTCTCGAATAATTCTTTCTCTTTCCATAACAGCTACAGCCTTATTCCAACTGTCATCCTTCTTCTTCTCTTTCTTTTCCTGTGTTACAGGCTGAAACTGTATATAATACAAGGAATTCGAGAAGATTTACTTACGGGATCTGCTTTCATTTGTTGTTGTGGAGCAGGGACATACCCATTCATGGGATTGGATGGATATTGTTGAAACATATGAGATGGGTAACTAGGAGATACATGATGGGCAGCTATAGATGGATGCTGAGGTGGATAATAAACACTTCCATCTTCTTGATAGTATGGATAACTATGGTGACCACTATGAGGACCATTCGGTGGAGCAGGCTATACCATGTTGAGAAAAGAAGAAGTGAAAACTAAGATA